AGAGGATCAGATCAGAAGTTATTTACACCGTATGTCATTTTGTTGTATTAAATATGTTGGCATGCAATTTAAAGAATTAAATCGCATATGCTCTGATCAATTTTGTAACAAACTCTACTTTATTTATGTAAATTATTAACTTTTATTTTCAATATAAGTTTGAATCTTTTTAATTAGTTTCTTAAGGGTTCCATCATTTTTATAACAATAAAAGTTTAGACTTTTCAACTATATTTTAAATGTAAATGATTTGAAAAGTTAATGTGACACATCGAAGTCGTATTCGGGTCGGATACGGGTTGGGGGTGTTACATGCACATTAGGTAGCATTAGAGTGTCTATCAAAGGCACATAATGTCGGCCTTAGAGTGTCTATCGAAGACACACGGTACAAGACACTCAGTGTATAAGGTGGGCACGACCCGACCTCATGTGAAAGCACTACGGTGCTATATTTGACTCCTATATCGGGGTCCTCATAGATTGATATTTTGGGCTATGGTTTATTGGAAATATTTTATAATTACAATTACATTATTATTATATTAAGGGTAAAGTATAGTAATGGTCACTGAACTTTTCTAAAGCATGCATTTAGGTCCCCAACTTTTAAAACTTGCAATACAATCCTCTAACATGTAGTCCGTTTACAATATGGTCCCTGACGTAACTGGTTGTTTGACGTTATTACACTACCGTTAGTATGTTTACAATATGGTCACTAAACTTTTTAGGTTCTTGCATTTAGGTCCCCCAACTTTTAAAACTTGCAACATAGTTCTCAATTTCATTATAAACCCCAAATTCCTTTTCAATCTCAAATTTTCTCTTTCGCTTCTCTCTTCTCATTTCCAGCGTAACTTTTCAGTCGGGATGCATGGGAAATTCTAATCTAACTTTGAATTCTGTGGAGGTGTTGACTTGAATAAGGGTCCATTGAGAGAATACCTGACCAAGGGACTATCGAGACCATCAATAATTCAAGGTGTAATGTTAGATACAGGTCATCTCAGGTGAAGCATAGACGTTCGATGAAATACTTGTGAGAAAAAAATGGGGTTAGAAATGTAGAGTTGACAAGTACTACTAAGATGAACTAAGTATCATTGTTGAAAGTCACCAACAAAGATGGAATTATTTTGTATAAATGACATATAATAATTTCTTCATTTAATCCTTGTGGTTAAAGATTTTCCAACAAATGATCAAATATAATGAAATCCCAAACAGGACCTTCACCTCTCAGACTCTTTTGCTCACATGCACTCTCGTTTTGTTTTTGTTCTTCAATTTTTCGCCATGTAAAATTGTAAACCTAAGCATTGCTCTATCTTTTAGTTTTTATTTACAAAGAAAAAATAAAGGAATAATTGTTGGAATGCAACAAAGATTGCATTTATTTCTTAGTATATCCCCTTACTTGCAATAAGGTATTTATTTTCTCTTTTGGGCTATCCGGAAATAAACTTTTCATCTTTTGTAATTTCCCATTTTCAGCTCGCATTGTGTGTTTTTTGTTGAAATTTTTATGTTTTTGGAACTGCATGTCAAGGATATGGATAGTCAGCGTTAGTTTTGAACCAAAACCATCTAATTTTCTTTCTTTCTTCTTAATCAATTAGTGCTCTTTATGAAAGTTATTCAGTCCATCAGAATAGAAGTGAAAGAGGGTCGTAGGCTAAATTTTTTTGATCTTCTTGTTTGGTTTTTCTTTAAATCAGGGAATTGGTTGTGAGTATCAACATAGTGAAGTTGACAGGCTGAATCTAAGAGACTGTTGGTACTAGTTTACTGGGAATTGTATTGATCCGACATGTGGTTTTCGGTATCCTGTGAGCTTGTATTCTTTTTAATAAGTTAATGTTGATTATGAGACTGATATGTCGTGAACGAATTGGATTTTTTTGCATGTTTTGGAAATTTTACAGTTGAATCTGTATTGAATTATAGCTTTAGAAGACAATTCTGCATGCACGTAACTCGAAAGACATCATGATAGGGTAGTATATTTGGAGCATCTACTTGATATGTTGTTCAGTCATTGCACATTTGCACCTTCATTTCTGGCATATATATGTTTGTTGCAATGTCTTCTATGTTTTACAATATCTTTTATTGCTGATATGCCATGAATTTACAAGAATTATGAGGTCCTACGATTTTAGTTCCGCTATCTGCTTTAGATTCTCATCATGTTTGGCTATTGAGGAACATTAAACATGGAGCATTAGAAGAAATTATATGTTAAAATGGTAGGCCATTAATGCATTTGCAACTAGTAAAGTTGCATTTGACATCTAATGTCTATCTTAAACAACCCATTTGACGCCTTATCTTTTGGAGTGACTATGACCGAACCTCTTTCCCTTTATTTATTACGTCCTCCTTTTGAATGAGTTATTAATTGATATTCTTGGTTTATTTTAGTTATTTCTTGGTTGTATGTTGTAGTCATATGAACTAAAACTCTTTACTATTTTCGCAGCCATTGGATGTGCATGCTCAAGTTTCATCCAAACCTATTGGATTTTATACCAAAGTGCGGGATGCTACGAACAAGACAAATTGGCCTTGTTACTTTTACTTCAACGGTTTATGCAATAAACGTTATAGGTGCACTTTGCATGTTCAAAGTGCGGCAGCCGTTAGATGTGTATGCAACAAACCTCAAATTTATATTGAAGTAAACACTATCAAATAGCAAATTCATGTTTAAAATTCCAAAACACTTCAATTACATTCTAAACCCCAAATTCCAAAATACTTTAATTATATTCTAAACCCAAAATTAAAGTATTTTAGAATTTGAGGTTTAAAATGTAATTAAATTATTTTGGAATTTGGGGTTTATAATGAAATTGAGGATTATGTTACAAGTTTTAAAAGTTGGGGGACCTAAATGCAAGAGCCTGAAAAGTTGGGTGACTATATTGTAAACGGACTAATTGTTGGAGGACTGCCACATCATCTTCTTCTAACGGCAGTGTAACAACGTCAAACGGCCGATTACGTCAGGGACCATATTGCAAACGAACTAAATGTTGGAGGAATGTATTGCAAGTTTTAAAATTTGGGAGACCTAAATGCAAGCTTTAGAAAAGTTCAGTGACCATTACTATACTTTACCCTTATATTAATTATGACAATATGATGAAAATGTATGTAAAGTGATCATATCGCATAATTGATGACATATAATTATATGCATGTGATGTATTGCAATGTTTATTATTTTAATTGTCTCACTAAGTATATTCTTAGCGTGTGATGATTTTCACGCGTAGGTATAAAGCAACCGTAGGAGTAAGGAGTACTGAGCAACTTCAAGCATCAGAGAGTATATTTACAGTATGTGATTTAATATTATGTGTTGGTTTTATGTGATTTAATATTTTTGTAATAAAGATTACGATTTGGAAAGTTAGAAGAAACAAATTTTTAATCACATTTGACTTGAAAAATATTTTAAAAAATTAATGTGACATCTATAACTCGTATTAGTATACGTATACAGGTCGTGAGTGTTACAGTAGTATCGGCAAATGAACCACAAAAGAATATCAAACTATGAAAGTCCATCAATAAATTGCTAAATAGAGTCTAGTGACTTGAGAAAATTATCCACAACGCAAATCATTTATTCAAATCAAATTCGATAGTCCAAAGCAGAAAAAATCAATATGATAACAAATAAGTGTTATCTTGATCACTCGTGATAATATCAAATCCAACCATGAGAAAAAAAGATATACGAAAACAATAACCAAACAATAAAAAAAATACCATAAATATCAAATTATTTAAAAATAAAAAATATGATATAACAAATAAAGAAAAACAAAAAAATACTAACGTTGGCGACCAAAACCAAAATTGTTGCCAATGGCTTATTAACAAAAGATGAAGAAAAATTAAGGCAATTTTAGAGTTTTACTTTCCTATTATATTTTTTTTGAATAATTGATATTATAACTTTTATATCTCATATATTATGTTTATATCATATCAAAATATAATGAATAATGCATAAGTTTAAGGAAAATAATATTTTTATACTGATATCATATCAATGTTTTCCTTAAATTTGAATCTAATTCCATCAATTTAAACTTTACAAAAAATTCATTTCATGTAATTTAAATTTAATTATTATAAAAAGTAAAATAATTTTTTTATTAAACTAAGATGATTATGGAGCAATATTTGTTTTAAATACTCTCAACCATTTGACAATAAATATTGAATCATTCCTATTACAATTGTGAGTGCTTAAATCTGAGACCATATTAAAAATAACAGTAATTCTTTTAATCACTAAAATAATTCAATTTATACAAATAAAATAATTTTATCAAATAGAATTAAATCAAAATTATAAATAGATGGAAATTGTGGCATATACTAGTAAATTATATTTTTTCAATGGTTACATGTGAGCCACATCCACCAGTGACGAAGCTGGATAGTAGAAATTTCGAATCCAAACGTGAGAAAGACGCGCACCCCTTTTTATTCTTCCACGCCCAACCAGATCCTTTTCTTAAAATCAACGGCTCAGATCCAATCTTCCTTTCTTTTCTCAGTCTTTTCTTATTTGCTTCACTAAAAGATCCCATCATAGCGCCAATCTTCTTCTTCTTCTTCTTCTTCTTCTTTGCTTCCTTCGTGTCTTTGGCTTAGATTCAACCCACATTGCCTTTGGTGGGTTCTCCTGTCTTTTTTTTTAATTTGTATTGGGCCTTTGTTTTTTTGTTTTAAATCTCTAGATCCACTGGAATTCGTTTCTTTTTCGTCTGGATTGTTGTGGTTTCGTTGATGGTTCAGTTCAGTACATTTTGTTGTTATGCTGTTTGGTTGATGAGAAAATCTGCGTACTAGAAACATAGTTGAATTTGGTGTTCTTTCCTGGTATGGAAGTGATTGATTTTCTAAATTTCGTGTACATGTTTTTCCTCTTTCTCTGCAAATTTCTGTTTGACGGCTGAGAAATGATGGAACGAATCATAATTTAGTACTTTATAATTTTAACATTTTTTCATTAATTTGTGGTTCGTACCTGTGGGAATTTGATTCTTGCTTTTTCACAGACGAGTGGTGAGTGTCAAAATGTGTTTGAGAAATGGAGATTTGAAGTTTACTAAATGGTACAAATTCCATAGAATAGATTCAGATATAAGTGGACATCTTGTGCCATTCTCGTTCTTTTTGTTATTCTTTGAAAAAAATTTCGTAATTTATTAATCCGATGCTAAACAATTATTTTTTCCTTTGATGCAGTTGTTAAGATGGTTGCACAGACATTCACTGTTGATTTGAATAAACCCCTAGTCTTCCAGGTACCAAAATAATGTGTTTAATTTTGGTTTTATCATTTAGAACACGCATGTGTAGGTGAAAGCTAGTGTTTAGTTGATCTTGTATTTCATGGTGGTTTGAATCACACGCTAACTTCTTTAACCACTTGTTCTGTTCCATTCATAGATTTCTTGGCCTACATGCTCTTTCTTCCTTGTTGAATTTGAAACATTTTTAGCAATCTTAGGGATGTCGGGGGGATCGGTATCGGTTTATATTTATAAGCTATATTTTGACTGTTTAACAATCTATTACAGGTTGGTCATCTTGGAGAAAGTTATCAGGACTGGGTTCACCGGCCTATTGTGAGGAAGGAAGGTCCTAGGTTCTTTGAGAGTGATTTTTGGGAGGTATCTGTAGTCATTTTGAAATGTTTTAATGAAGCATTACCGATACAATTTGTCGTACTGCGTGCTAACGACTTTTTTGGCTTGCTTTACTTGAAACAGTCCTTGACTCGAACTGTCTGGTGGGCGATTCCAACCATATGGCTGCCTGTTGTTTGCTGGTGCATCTCAATGTCTGTACGTATGGGGCATGCTTTTCCCCAAATTGCTTTAATGGTTGCTTTTGGCATTTTTGCTTGGACACTAGTGGAATACGTTTTGCATCGATTCCTTTTCCACATTGAAACAAAGAGTTATTGGTTAGTTCTTTCTGTTCTGAACTCTCGACTCTTGTATGAAAGCATTGTTCCTATTTTACTTCTATATTACGACTACGTTTTCTGCATATGTTAACCTTCATTGAGAACTTTGGCATAGGGGAAACACCGTACACTACCTTCTTCACGGCTGCCACCACAAGCACCCTATGGATAGCCTGCGGCTTGTTTTTCCACCTGCTGCAGCTGCTATATTATGCATTCCGGTCTGTATATCTTACTTCAACTCTTCTTCCTACATATGCATGAAGGTTCACACCAAAAGCATTTTGTTGCATGTGCAATTCGTGTATCTTCGAATTGTTCTAATTCCTTGCTTCCCGCTTTCCGTTTTGTGCAGTTTTGGCACCTGGTTAAGCTTTTCGCCACTCCGTCCACTACGCCTGCTGTGTTCGGAGGTGGTTTGCTTGGGTACGTCATGTACGATGTTACCCATTACTACCTGCACCATGGCCAGCCCTCCAACCAAGTTCCTAAAAACCTCAAGGTAAATATACTTTGTGCTTCAACTAGTTGCAGGGAACTTTTCGTGCTAATTTAATACTGTTGGTCTCGATTAGGCCGTAACTATAAAATTTCGGTTCCATTGCCGTTTAGCTAAGGACGGCTGGAGTGTTCCATAGCTTGATTTGATCATTTATGTTGCAGAAATATCACTTGAACCATCACTTTAGGATTCAAAATAAGGGTTTTGGGATCACTTCAGCGTTTTGGGACATAGTTTTTGGAACCCTTCCTCAAAGTAAGGCCACCTGAGGAGGCTTACATAATTTAGTAGGCTAGTATAATAGCAAACATTGATTTGTTCTCCAACAATATTTACTCGTGCTTGTATTTTATTTTTGGGTAAACTACATGTTAGTTCCCCCAATTATTACCTTTGTTCTGTTCTGGTCACCAACTATTTTTTGTTTTAAAATCATATCTAATATTACGTTTTAGTTTTATTTTGATCACTCATTATTAAAAAATTAACGGTGATGCTGACGTGTCATCATAAGGTAATGTTACATCATCATTGATTTTTTTAAAATACCATATTAGTAGTTTTGTTAATTTTTTAACAGCGGGTGACCAAAATGAAATTGAAACGTAATGTAAGGCATGATTTTGAAAAGATAATAGTAGTAACCAAAACGGAATAAAAGTGATAATAAGATGCTAAAAGTTTACCTTTTGTTTTTGTAGTATGATCCATGGATGAATGGATGAGTGTTTTTGGGTTAGCATCTAATCTTCTATCCACACATTGAGTTTGCGTATATGAATTTTCAATTGCTTTTCTTTGTTCGCCAACAATTTGAAATCCCAATCATTTTGTAGGAAAATTATTGCAGTGTTGAAATACATTCCCTGCTATACTCCATATGGTATACCAATCTCTGGAAAATGTTTCCAGTGTTAAAAATTTGCTATCCTGAATATTCTTGGATTTACATTCAATTATATACAATATTTGTCGAATATTTAAATCTGTTCAATATCTATTATCAAATTATTTTTAAAAAAAATAAAATATGTAAATAGAGATTGAATTCATGTTACCTCAAATAATAATAAAATAAAGGGTTAACTACATGAAAAATCATTTATGTTTATGTTTTTGTCCACTCTTGGTCACTAATTTCTAAAAACATAAGATATAGTCACTTTCGTTTTTATTTAATTAAGATGTGGTCATCCCTAGTTAACTGTCGTTAATAGCAATTAAATATTTTGATATAATCACACATTTGATCCTTATTATTAATATATTCTCTCAATTTAGTCATACTTTTAATAAATTTAATCCTATTTTACAACTCGAAGTTGACTTAGAATTTTTTTCGAGTCGAGTTGAGTCAAATTTTTAAGTTCCTGTTTAAATTTAGTTATAATTTTTTATAATATTATGATATTATTTGATTTCAATTTAAATGATATTTTATAACCATATACAATACATGTGTATTTCTTCATATTTTTTTCATATATGATATACATTAATGATACAAAGTCGAGAGACGCGACTCAAACTTCAAAATCAATCTACTAATTACTAAATTTTTTGAGTTATTCAAGTAATTCGAGTTGTATTTTACAACTCGGTTAGAACTTGAAATTTTTTCGAGTCGAGTCGGGTTTATGAAATTACAACTCGAAGTTAATTCGAGTCAAGTTTTCAAGAGTCAAGTCAAAAAAATCGGTTCTTCGAGTCGAGTCCAAGTTCGCTCACCCCTAATATCACGTGTCATCGTTCGGTTGGAGGATTAACTTTCATAAGCTCAACTCAAAATTTGTTTAAGTTCAAACCGAGTTGTAAAATACAACTCGAATAACTAAAATTTTTTAGTAATTAGTGGATTGATTTTCAAGTTTAAGTTGAATCTCTCGACTTTGTATCATAAATGTATATCACATATGAAAAAAAATGAATAAATACATATGTATTGTATATGGTTATAAAAGATAATTTAAATTGGAATAAAATAATATCATAATATTATAAATACTTATAATTAAATTTAAATAATAACTCAGAAATTGGAGTCGACTCGACTCGAAAAAATTCTAAGTCAACTCCAAGGTGTAAAATAAGACTCATCAAATCGAATAACTCGAAAAAAATTTCAGTCGACTAGATCGAACGCTCACCCCTACGTGGCATGACATGTGACATCATTCGGTTGGATGATTAAATTATTTTAATTTATTAAAAGTAGGACTAAATTAAGAGAATATGTAAATAACAGGGATCGAACGCGTGATTATATCAAAATATTTAACTGTTGTTAACGACAATTAACTCGGGGTGATCACATCTTAATTAAATGAAAACGAAAGTGATCACATCTTAATTAAATAAAAACAAAAGTGACCACATCTTAATTAAATAAAAAAATGATTATATCTTATGTTTTTTTAAATCAGTGACTAAAAGTGGACAAAATATAAACGTAAGTTATTTTTTATGTAATTAACCCTAAAATAAATAGAGTTGTGTTTATTTATAACCCAGTACATAATTCGAATGAAACGAGGTAATTCTCATCAAACTGACAAGAGACTGCACAAGGGGATTGTCTTAGGAAAGGCGGGCTAATATACGGCTAATATACAGCGTTACCGTATACATTATAATATATTTAACAAATTCGGTTTAGCGCTACCTGAAATATCGAGTAATAACAATGTTGTAGGTGGAAATCATGAAGAAAATATTAAAAAATTTGGCAACCGACAAACTTAGCTTGTCGGTTTGTGTCGATACAAATGAAAAATGTATCGATCCATAGCAATATAACAAGTACAAATATGATAAAATCGGTGTCATTATGATAAAACCGGTAAACCGCTACTGGATATATTGAAAGTGTCGATAAATTAATATAAGTATCGACACTTTTGTAATTTAAAAGAGAAGAAGTTATAGCGCCTATAAAGTGTCGATACTTTATACAAATGTATCGATCCATAGCAATATAACAGGTAATAATATGACAAAACCGGTGTCATTATGATAAAACCGGTAAACCGCTACTAGATATATTGAAAGTGTCGATAAAGTAATATAAGTATCGACACTTTTGTAATTTAAAAGAGAAGAAGTTATAGCGCCTAAAAAGTGTCGATACTTTATACAAATGTATCGATCCATAGCAATATAACAGGTAATAATATGACAAAACAGGTCTCGAAATGATAAACTGGTAAAAAGCTACCGGATATATTGAAAGTGTCGATAAATTAATATAAGTATCGACACTTTTGATATTTAAAAGAGAAGAAGTTATAGCACCTAAAAAGTATCGATACTTTATACAAATGTATCGATCCATATCAATATAACAGGTAATAATATGACAAAACAGGTCTCGAAATGATAAAACCGGTAAAAAGATACCGGATATATTGAAAGTGTCGATAAATTAATATAAGTATCGACACTTTTGTAATTTAAAAGAGAAGAAGTTATAGCGTCTAAAAAGTGTCGATACTTTATACAAATGTATCGATCCATAGCATTATAACATGTAATAATATGACAAAACAGGTCTCGAAATGATAAAACCGGTAAAAAGATACCATATATATTGAAAGTGCCGATAAATTAATATAAGTATCGACACTTTTGTAATTTAAAAGAGAAGAAGTTATAACGCCTAAAAAGTGTCGATATTTTATACAAATGTATCGATCCATAGCAATATAACAGGTAATAATATGACAAAACAGGTCTCGAAATGATAAAACCGGTAAAAAGCTACCGGATATATTGAAAGTGTCGATAAATTAATATAATTATCGACACTTTTTATATTTAAAAGAGAAGAAGTTATAGCGCTTAAAAAGTGTCGATATTTTATACAAATGTATCAATCCATATCAATATAACAGGTAATAATATGACAAAACAGGTCTCGAAATGATAAAACCGGTAAAAAGCTACAGGATATATTGAAAGTGTCGATAAATTAATATAAGTATCGACACTTTCGTAATTTAAAAGAGAAGAAATTATAGCGCCTAAAAAGTATCGATACTTTATGAAAATGTATCGATCCATAATAATATAATATGTAAAAATATGACAAAACCGGTATCTAAATGACAAAACCGGTAAAGCGCTACCGGTTATGTTGAAAGTGTTGGTACTTTAATAAGTACGCGTAAAAAAGTATCGACACTTTAAAAGAAATAGGTAAATATCCTATCGAAAGTATCGACATTTCACATAAAAGTATCGACACTTAGGTAATTGTATCGATTAAATATAAATAACATATCCGGTGTAAATATAAAGGCATAGCTAAATTTCCTCTGAAAATAGATAGAGTTTTTGAAATCGAAGCGTAATTGTTATTGCATTTCAGAAGGCATTTCTACGTTGAAGTTTTTTTATTTGTTGCTGCATTTCAAATCGAAAGGTACGTTGTTGAAACCCTAGTTTTTTATTATTATAATAATTAGGGTTTTTATGTGTTGTTGTTTGGGGTTTTCGAAGTAAAGAAGCATTTGAGACCGATTACATGTAGAAAGTGATCTTCTAGGTAGATGATAAATATCGATACTTCCAAAATAAAGCACAAACGAGTTACACTCATAAAGTGTCGATACATTTAAAATTGTATTGATCCCGAAAACATCGAAACCGATATACATAATGTAATATGTCAATTTGTAATGTATCCGGTTTAAATTTATCGGTTTTATGAGAAAATATGTCAATATAAGCGCTACCTATTACATTATATAAGCGCTGCCTAATTTGTTATTGTACTTGATAATATTTCCGGTTAAATGCCTATTTTATTATATAAGCGCTACCTATTACATTATATAAGCGCTACCTAATATGTTATTGTGCTTGATAATATTTCCAGTTAAATGATATAATATAACCGGTCTAAATTTTAACCGGTTACTTATTTAACCGGTCACTCCATTTTTTAGCCCTTTTTTAGGCGCCGCACAGCCGAACTTCCCCTGCTCAAGATACAATGGCTATGAGAAAGTTGATGGAACACTTGATTATTTTGAAATAAATACCAGATTTCATTAATAATATCATGCAATAGCATCAGCTACTCATAATCATGAATAAATTGAGGATAATTCTCATCAAAATAATAAGAGATTTGTTACACCTCCATCAAATTTCCTTCTAAAACTATGTTTTTTTTGTAATTCCTTTTAATTCTTTCAAGTTTCCAAAGTTTCTAAAATTCTGTATTCTAGCATTATGAGTTTTTTTATTGTACCTTAGTAAGTACTGATATATCTTTTCCCTAAGAAGAGAGATGCCACCCCATCGCATCTCTTCTACGTAAATGAAGATATCGTAGTTCAACATGCAGTGGTCCAGACGCGTAAAGATACCTCCACTCAACTCACAGCCCCACTAGGGGTTTGGTTACCTCCTCCATCCAC